TCGTCGTCGTCGTGGTCGTCGTCGTCGTCGTTGTCGTGGTCGTCGTGGTCGTCGTCGTCGTCGTGGTCGAGGTCGTGGTCGTCGTCGTCGTCGTCGTCGTCCTTCAGGGTCGGCGGCACTGGCCGTAAGGCCTCTTCCAATCACATCCCAGGAGCCCAGCCCACTATTCCAACCCATTTTCCCACTCTCAGAGCCAGCGGAAGCCAGATGATTGCGGGTTTAGGACGTGAGCATCGCGAGCTCAGGGACACATGCAAGAGGTACGGCCAGCGCGGAGCAGACATAGGAGAATAGGTGATCCTGTGACTGGATCGAATCGCTTCTTGTCCTTTGCGTTCTCGTCAATGGCACACCTCAGGCGGGATGGCGAATATCCTCGACTGGTTTTCAGACAGCATGCTTGCAAGTGCTACCAGCATTTTTCCGACAGGACGGGGTGAGAGAGCGGGGGAGATCAGCAAGGAAATTGGCAGAGGGAGGGCAAACACACGATGGCACTGACGTGAACGATTCCATGAACACGGGCACTTGGACGAGACAGCTCGCGGCCTATGGCCTGGAAGCTTCACAACTGACCTCCTCGGGGAACGAAATATACCGATACCGCTACTTCCTGGACCTCTCCCAGGGCGCATTCGGACTGAGATTTTGGCCAGGGCGGAAAAGCTAGTCGATGTCCAACACATTCTCTCATTGCCCAGAGCTCTGCCTGGGCGCGCTCCGACGAGGGCTTCGAAGCGAACCTGGCCGTGGCGACGGGGGCCCCGCGTCTGGAGGCCCCAGATGGCGAAAACGGAGGAAGGGCATCAACATCGGTATGTTTTCCTCTTCTGACCCTCCTGACCCAAGTCCGCTTACGCTCACCCAAGTTTCGTTCCCGGTGGATCCATGACGGCCCCGAAGACGGCCCCCAGATGCCGAAAACAACGAAACAACTACGCCCTTGAATCTCGAGGGAAAGGGCAGCGGTATGGGCATGGTGCTCTCCTTCGGGTGCTTGCCAACGGGAGTGAGAAACGAGGAGCGAAGAAACATGCACCTTTCGCGCGCCTACCTTGTGGGCCCACAGTGGCAGTGGAGGTGCACTTTAGGGCCACTTTCGGGGCACTTTCCTGGAATCCTCGATCCCCCCACGTTTCTTGCCCCCCGCTTGCGGAGACCAAAGGGTCCCGATGCCGCTACTCCCCACGACATCCCCGGGGTGCGTTCTGACCAGGAACTGCGAGGCGAACCCAGCGGTAGAGACGAGGGCCTCCCAGGAGGCCAGATCAAGAGCGAAAACGAGGCAAGGGCACAAACACTGGTGCCCTTCACAGTCATGCGACGTCTAGCCTTCTTTCCATGCGGGGATCTGGGCGCCTTCCCTGGGCCCGGCTTTTCAGCCCGAGACGCTCTTGGACAGCTCCGGGGCCCGGCCAGGGCCCCCAGAGGCCGAGAACGGCCAACATGATCGACCCACGAACCCGGAAAGGAATGTAAAACTGTAACACATGGCAGCGTTTTCAAAGACACCTGATTGGGTGACGGGCAAATGCATTACTGAAGGTATCGATCTTGATGTACCCTGCCGAGGGCTGTGCTGTGCTGCGCCGTGCTGAATTGCGATGTGCCATGGCGCGACTGTGCTCTATAGCCTCGTGGATCGAGTCCTCCTTTGCATCCGAGTCCTGACCGAACTGATCTGGATCTTAAGCTCGAGCTGCCTGAACACATAGTAGCTGCCCCAGAGCTAATGGACAGGGGAACATGCCAGGAGGACGCGCCGCGAAACGTCCCAAGGGATGCGCCAGGCGACGTGCCAGGGGACGTGCCATGGGGTCGCACCGCGGGACGTGCCAAAGGGACGCGCTACGGAACGTGCCAATGGATGTGCCACGGGATGTGCCAGGGGACGCGCCACGCGACGTGCCAGGGGGACTCGCCAAAGGACGCCCCACGGAACGTGCCAAGGAACGTGCCAAGTTGCAATGCTGAGTGTATCGACCTTGATGTACCGTGCCGAAATCAGTGCTGTGCTGCGCCGTGCTGAATTGCGATGTGCCATGGCGCGATTGTGCTCTATAGCCTCGTGGATCGAGTCCTCCTTTGCATCCGAGTCCTGACCGAACTGATCTGGATCTTAAGCTCGAGCTGCCTGAACACATAGTAGCTGCCCCAGAGCTAATGGACAGGGGAACATGCCAGGAGGACGCGACGCAGAACGTCTCAAGGGACGCGCCAAGCGACGTGCCAAGGGACGTGCCATGGGGACGCACCGCGGGACCTGCCAAGGGGACGCGCTACGGAACGTGCTGGGGACAAGCGTTTCGCTCGAGACATCCTGTCAAAATCATCTGAATTCCTACGCGCGGGACGCTGCACGCGCGAGACATCCTCGGAATTCCTGCGAGCGGGACGTGAAAACAAGCATTTCGCCTGAGACATCCTTTGAATTCTGGCCCCCCACAAGGCCACCGCTCGAGACATCCTCCAATTTTGCAAAACCAGCGTTTCGCTCGAGACATCCTCAACAAATTATGAAAAACAAGCGTTTCGCTCGAGACATCCTGTCAAAATCCCCAGACATCCAAATACCCGCGCGCGGGACGCGGCACGCGCGAGACATCCTCAGAATTCCTGCGCGAGGGGCGCTTTTCCGTGTCGCGGTCGGCTCTGCAAAACCAGCGTGTCGCTCGAGACATCCTCAACAAATTCTGAAACCAAGCGTTTCGCTCGAGACATCCCCAACTCTGCAAAACCAGCGTCTCGCTCGAGACATCCTCAACAAATTCTGAAAAACATGATGGACCCACGAACCCGGAAAGGGATATAGACATGCGCAGCATGGTCACGTTTTCACGATACCCAACTGGGCGACATCTCACAAAACATCCCACGAGACACCCCGCGAAACATCCCACGAGACACCTCGCGAAACATTCCACGAGACACCTCGCGAAACGTTCCACGAGACACCCCGCGAAACATTCCACGAGACACCCCACGAAACATTCCACGAGACACCCCACGAAACATTCCACGGGGGTGCGACTGGGTGTGGTCGTGCTGGGGTGTGGTCGTGCTGGGGTGTGGTCGTGCTGGGGTGTGGTCGTGCGTGGTCGTGGGGGGGTGGTCGTGCTGGGGGGGGTGGTCGTGCTGGGGGTGGTCGTGCTGGGGCGTGGTCGTGCTGGGGAGTGGTCGTGCTGTGGTGAGGCCGTGCTGGGGTGTGGTCGTGCTGGGGTGTGGTCTTGCTGGGGTGGGGCCGTGCTGGGGTGGGGTCGTGCGGGTGGGGTCCTGCTGGGGTGTGGTCGTGCTGGGGTGTGGTCGTGCTGGGGTGGGGTCGTGCTTGGTGGGGTCGTGCTGGGGTGTGGTCGTTCTGGGGTGTGATCGTGCTGGGGTGTGTCGTGCTAGGGTGGGGTCGTGCTGGGGTGGGTGTCGTGCTGGGGTGTGGTCGTGCTGGGGTGTGGTCGTGCTGGGGGGTGGTCGTGCTGGGGGGTGGTCGTGCTGGGGGGGTGGTCGTGCTGGGAGGTGGTCGTGCTGGGGAGTGGTCGTGCTGGGGCGTGGTCGTGCTGGGGCGTGATCGTGCTGGGGTGTGGTCGTGCTGTGGTGAGGTCGTGCTGGGGTGTGGTCGTGCTGGGGTGTGGTCTTGCTGGGGTGGGGCCGTGCTGGGGTGGGGTCGTGCTGGGGTGGGGTCCTGCTGGGGTGTGGTCGTGCTGGGGTGTGGTCGTGCTGGGGTGGGGTCGTGCTGGGGTGGGGTCGTGCTGGGGTGTGGTCGTTCTGGGGTGTGATCGTGCTGGGGTGTGGTCGTGCTAGGGTGGGGTCGTGCTGGGGTGGGGTCGTGCTGGGGTGTGGTCGTGCTGGGGAGTGGTCGTGCTGGGGTGTGGTCGTGCTGGGGGGTGGTCGTGCTGGGGGTGGTCGTGCTGGGGGGGTGGTCGTGCTGGGAGGTGGTCCTCAGAATTCAGGTCCCCAGGAGAGGACAATCTATAACACAAAACAAGCGTTTCGCTCGAGACATCCTCACCATTTTCTGAAAAACAAGCGTTTCGCTCGAGACATCCTCAAATTTTAATTCGCGGGCGCTCAAAAACAAGCGTTTCGCTCGAGACATCCTCAAATTTTAATTCGCGGGCTCGTTATTTATCAGGGAAAAATTCGCCGGCCTCCTTCGACCTCGTTATTTATCAGGGAAAAAATTCGCCGGCCTCCTTCAAGCAGGCACCGGGGGACAGGTTTACCTACTAAAAGAGAACCCTGGGCCTTTGCCCTTTCCGGGAACAAGCGTTTCGCTAGGGACATCCTCAATTTTTAATTCGCCGGCCCTACGCGACCTCGTTATTTATCGCAAAAGAAATTCGCCGGCCCTACAGCCGTCAAAACCGGGGGGAACAAAACTAAAAGAGAACCCTGGGCCTATGTCCTTTCCGGGAAAAAGCCTCCCGTCGCGACTCTGTCTTTGCGACGCGACTCTCGGTCACGACGCGAGCGCTGGGTGCTCCTCCTCGGGCAGTCGCCGTCGGCCACGCCCTCCAAAAGCTCCCCGCTGGCTCGGGCCCGACGCGCTCTCGCCGTCCGCGCGGCCCCCGGCCCTTGCCCTGCCCGCCCCGCCCGCCGCCCGCCCGCCCGCCCAGACCGTCGCCGCCCGTCGGTGTCGCAGCTCGCCAGCTCCGTCCCGAAGCGCTCGTCGCCGTGCGCCAGGCCCGTCCGCACCGTTGCCGTCCGGCGGGCCCTCCGAGCCCCGCCCATAGAGGGCAGAAAAGCCTCCCCCAGAAGAAGCACCCCGACAAGCGAAACCGTTTAGCAAGCGCACCCAGAGGGGTCGAACAGGGCAAGGCTGTTTGGTAAACGTCCAGGGCCGCTCAGTAAACGCAAATTGTCGGGGTCTGGGTGCTTTTTCCTCCCTTGACCCCCCCCTCCTCCCGAAGCTCTGGCCTGAAGCGCTCTCGCATGCGCTCCTCGCGCTGCTCGTCGGAGAGGCCAGCCGCTTGGCCAGCCTCTCTCGTCCACGAGCGCTTGAGCCCCTCCTGCGGCGGGGCGAGCGTCTGGGGAGACAGGAGGGGGAGGAGGAGGCGGAAGAGGAGGAGGCGGAGCAGGAGAAGGAGGAGGAGGACGAGGAGGAAGAGGAGGAGGAGGTGGATGAGGAGGATGAGGAGGAGGAGAAGGGAGAGGAGGAGGAGGCGAAGGAGGAGGAGGAGGAGGAGGAGGAGGAGGAGGAGGAGGAGTAGCACGACGACGACGCCGATGATGATGATGATGATGATGATGATGATGAGGAGGAGGAGGAGGAGGAGGAGGAGGAAGTGGAAGGAGGATGAGGATAAGGACGAGGAGGAGTAGGAGGAGGAGGAGGAGGAGGAGGGATAAGGAGGAGGAGGAGGAGGAGGAGGCGCTGGCGAGCATCGAATGGTCAGCGTGAGTGTGCACAATATCACTGGCGACCGATGGGAAACGTGAGAACACTATATCCCCTCCGATGCCAAACGGGCAACCATCCCTCGACCACCCATCATGAACGAAGCCCTGCCACTGACGACATGTCCTTTTCAGGACAGATAGCTGGAGCAAGCGGATGTGTAGCAAACGGAAAATCAGATTGCACCAGGGGGCGCCCGGAACTGGCACCAGACGAGGATGGTGATGCTGCTGCTGCTGCTGCTGCTGCTGCTGCTGATGATGATGATGATGATGATGATGATGATGATGATGATGATGATGATGATGGTGATGGTGATGACGATGATGAGGAGGAGGTAGAGGAGGAGGGGGAGGAGGAGGAGGAGGAGGAGGAGGAGAAGAGGGAGGAGGAGGAGGAGGAGCACGACGACGAGGAGGAGGACGAGGAGGGGGAGGAGGAAGTGGGAGGGGGAAGCCGGAAGCCCCTTCTGGAGCCTGCCTGTTGGCCTCCTGGGCCCTCCAGAAGCCTTCTGGTGCTTCCTGGGGCCTCCTGGCGCCTCCCGCAGCATCCTTCGGGGAACGAGCAATGGCATAGGCGTAAAGTAGCCAGCCTCGAACGTATCCCTATCCCTAAAATGGGCGAGCAAAAAGCGAGAACAATCTTAGGGACAGGCCCTCAGAAACTGAGGGAATACTTAAGATCGGCATCGAGATGAGGTGATGTCAAACATAGGGATAGGGATATGTTTCACACTGGTAATAAAGACTCGGAAGTCCGTGCCGATTTCTCGGATCGGCGCTGGAACCCCTGGCGGCGCCTCCGGCGCCGCCCCTGGCGCGCTCTGCGCGCCAGGGAGGGGGGTTCAGCGCGGATCCAAGGAGTCCGCGCGCACCTTCGGGTCTTTATGCAAATGTCATTTCTCATCTCCCTAATCCTGTGAACTCTTGGAGCGTTCTCGCCTCTTGCTGCGAGCCCCCAGCCGTGTTGTTGTAGCTCCGCCAAACATGTTCAAGGATATCTGTATGTTTTTGGAGGTTGGAAAAGGAATGTGGCACAAAGGGGTGTGGTGTCAATCGTGGAGATGGTGATGCCATCTACGACAGATTACCTCGCCCATTCCAGCATTGGCACTACACCCCTTTACACCACAGCCCTGTCCTACCTCCAGATTGTTCCTCGAGGGTCTTCTGACCTGGGTCAATCTACACCCGGGTCAGCCAGGCCTTGCAGAATCCTGCGAGGTCCTGCAAGATCCTGCACCCAAGCCCAGGTCAATGCGAAGGGTCCTGCAAGATCCTGCGCAGTCCTGCACCCAAACCCTGGTCAATGCGACCCTGGCCCTGCAGGATCCTGCAAGATCCGGCGCTTTGGCTGACCCCCATTTGCATTGACCCAAATATCAAGGCTCCCGAGTTCCTCCTTCCCGTTTTTTCCGGAGCTGGGGGGGAGGGCGCAGCCCCGTCAGCTCAGGACGGCCCAAGAGGCCTCGAAGAGGGCCCCACGGCGACAATGACGACGACGGCCCTCCATGACCCCCCCTAACCGCTGCAACCTCTTTAACGATATAACCCCTGCAACCCCGATAACCCGTATGACCCCTATGACTCCGACACCCCCCATGACCCCTCTGACCCCTATAGCAGCAGGATCCCAGAGAGCCTCTAGAACCTCCATGTCCCCTTTTGGTCATAACACCTGTATGACCCATTTACACCCCTTTTATGACCAATTTGAGCCCTGTGCCCTCTATTATCACGACCACCCCTATCACCCTATGATCTCTGCAGTCCTACGAGTCCCATAGCCCCTATGACCACTACAACCCTGATAGCCCTACAGACCGCATAACACCTATGTCTCGTATGATGCCCAGAACCCCTGTAAGACCTTTGACCCCTGACGACGACGGCGGCCCCCCCTGACACCTATAACCCCACGAACCTCCCTAACCCTATAACCCTTTGCGCCCGATAGCCCCGTATGACCCAATGACCCATATACCCCCTTATGACCACTGTCACCCGTATGGCATCAACAACCCCCAGAGCCCGTATAATATCGATGGCCTCTGTAAACCACTAGAACCCCTGTGACCCCACAACCCGTTATGGCCCTTAGGAAACTTGTAACTTTAATTAGCACTATCACCTTGCTGATCACCTCTATGATTTCTATAACCCTTGTGAGTCCGATAAGCCCCCTCTGGCCCTTCTGACGCCATATGGTCCCCATGGCCACTATAACGCCTACCGCTCCTGAGCCTTTTAAACTTCTATCACGCCTATGACCCCTGGAACCTCTACGGCCCCAATAATCCTCATAACCCCTATGGCCCGAATAGCCCAAATTGGCCCGAAAACCCGTACAACCCGAATTGCCAGAATGGCCCGAATAGCCCGAATGGGCCCGACGCGGGAACCATCCCGCTTGGGCCGGGTAGCCCGAGTAGCCCGAAAAACCCAAATGGGCCCAGCGCACGAGACATCCCCGATTAACCCGAGTAACCCGAATAGCCCGAATGGGCCCGAGTAGCCCGAATACCCCAGATAGCCCGACTTCGACCAGCCCGAGTCACCCGAATGGGCCCGGCGCGCAAAACATTCCGATCGAGCCCGAGGGGCCCGAATAACCCAAACAGCTCCAATGGGCCGGGGTAGCCCGAGTGGCACGAATTCGAACAGCCCGAGTCGCCCAAATAGGCCTGGCGCCGCGCGACACATTCCGATTGAGCCGAATAGCTTGAATAGCCCGAACGGGCCCGAATGCCCCGAATAGGAATAGCCCGAATCCGAAAACGGCCCGACCCACAAAACATCCCGTTTGAGCCGAGTAGCCCGAATAGCCCGACTGGGCCAAGCGCACGAGACATTCCGATTGAACCGAATAGCCCGAATACGCCGAATGGGCCCGAGTAGCCCAAATAGCACGAATAACCCGAATAGGGATAGCTCGAATCCCGACTGGACCTGGCGCGCGAAAAATTCCGATTGACCCGGGTAGCCCGCATGGGCCTGGCGCGCGAAACATTCCGATTGAGCCGAGTAGCCCGAGTAGCCTGAATGGGTCCCGATGTAGGAAAGAGCGCGTTCTGTGGCCGCTTGGAGGGGCGAGGGGTTTGGAACCGGACCCCCACCCCCACCCCTCCTGTGACGGGGGGGTGGGGTTCGAACCCCCCCCCCTCCGTTTCCCCTCTCCTACTTCTCCTCTCTCCCTCTCCTCGGGCCGGCGCCTGCGTCGGCGGCGGCTGGCGGCTGCGGCGGGGACGACGATTTCCTTTTCTGGGCCGGCGCTGGCGCCTGCGGGCGGCGGTGGCGGGGACTGTCGGCGAAAACGACGGTGGTGGTGGTGGTGGTGGTGGTGGTGGTGGTGGTGGTGGTGGTGGTGGTGGTGGTTGTGGTGGTGGTGGTGGTGGTGGTACTGGTGGTGGTGGTGGATCGTGGTGGTGGTGGTGGCAGTGGTGGTGGTTGTGGTGGTGGTGGTGTGGTTGTTTGTTGTGGTTGTGGTTGTGGTGGTGGGTGGTGGTGGTGGCGGCGGTGGTGGTTTGGTGGTGGTTTGTGGTGGTGGTGATGGTGGTGGTGGGTTGTGGTGGTGGTGGTTTGGTGGTGTGGTGGTGGTTTGTGGTGGTGGTGGTGGTGGGTTGTGGTGGTGGTGGCGGTGGCTTGTGGAGGTGGTGCTGGTGGTGGTGGTGGTGGTGGTGTGGTGGTTTGTGGTGGTGGTGGTGGGTTGTGCTGCTGGTAGTGGTGGTGGTCGTGGCGGTGGTGGTGGTGATGTGGTAAATTGTGGTTGTGGTGGTAATGGTGGTGGGTTTTTGTGGTGGTGGTGGTGATGGTGAGTTGTGATGGTGGTGGTTGTGGTGGTGGTGGCTTTGTTGGTGGTGGTGGTAGTGGTGGTTGTGTGGTGGGTTGGTGGTGGTGGTGGTGGGTTGAGGCCGTGGTGGTGGTGGTAGTGGTGGTGGTGGTAGTGGTGGTAATCGTCGCGGCGTCCCCGCCGTCCCCGGCGCCAGCGCCGGCGCTGCTGGCCGCTGCTAACGCCGGCGCCGGCGCCAGAGGGGGGGGGGTTGAACCCCCCCTTTGGGAGGGGGGGGGGGGGTGAATCCGCATGTGGGCCGAATCCCAACCAACTGGGCCCAATCCCAACCAACTGGGACCAATCCCAACCAGTGCGAAAAGCAAACTGGGCCCGATCCCAACCTGCTTGGGGTAACCTCACAATAAGATTTTAAGTGTGGAGAAACCCAAGACGACTGTGAAGACCAAGTGACACCTCTTATGTCAACGGAGATGTTCTGGAAGCCAACATACGTGCCAGAGTTGGAATTGGTTCCAGTTTTGGTCTGCGCACGAGCACTATGTTAAGATGAGCAAGATGTCACCGAAGCGTAAGCAAAACCGCACCGAATTGCATCGATTCTTAAATATGCAAAATGAATCCTCCCATTAGTAGTAGTAGTAGTAGTAGTAGTAGTAGTAGTAGTAGTAGTAGTAGTAGTAGTAGTAGTAGTAGTAACATGATGGACCCACGAACCCGGAAAGGGATATAGACATGTGGAGCATGGGCACGTTTTCACGATACCCAACGGGGCAACACCTCACGAAACATCCCACGAGACACCTCACGAAACATCCCACG